AGAATTCCCCAGCCAGCATGGCTGGCTGGGGAATTCTGGGAGCTGAAGTCCACTCATCTTAGAGTTGTCAAGATTGAGAAACACCGTTCTAAATTCACATGAAATGATTATTCGTCTTTCCACCATGTAAATACAGTAATTTTCCACAAACTAAACAGCTGCATGTCTAGGTAACTCCAACCGGGGGCAGGATTGCCAATTCTTCAATAGACTACTACTGTGTTTTTAACCAGTTTTTAATCAGGCAGGAAGAGCCTTTTATAGCATATCCATATAGTTCTGCTCTAAAAGGCTCTTCCTGCCTGGTTAAAAACTGGTTATATGGATATTATTATCCATATCATCTATTATCTATTGGATATTATTGTGATTTTAAAATACATACATACGTACAGAGAAGCTGTTAAGGAACGGCAGCAGGGCATAAACATAAGTCACTAGTACAGGCTAAAGTTCAATCCATGGTGCCTCCTTGATCAATTAATTGATTCATCAGATAGCAGGTGAAATGAAAACCACTGGCAGTGAAAGCATGCAAAACTGGACAAGTAAGGTGATCTGATATCAGACAATACTTGATGTTCCCCATTGTATGCACCCTATAAATATCAAGAGCCCAGGGCCATGCATATATGTGCAGTTTCAAAGTGTGCCCTTCTAATTTTCACCCTTCCTGCCTTTAAAGATGATCTCCAGATGGACAGTCCAGGGATAATGCAGCTATGAATCATACTGAACCTAGAGAAGAAGAAAAAAGAAACGTATACAACATTTTTGCACTGCTGCTAAAGCCAGATGTGCAGGAGAGCAAAATAATGTTCAGGCATTTCATCACTGTAAATCCTTCTCCATCTCTTCAGGGAAAACGGAAAGTCATCCTTCCCATCTGTTCTGGTCCATCACAGGGTGAACAGTTTCTCAAAGGGGAGCCAAACTCCTTCCCCAGTCCCAATTGCTGCTCCATCGGTTCTTCAGAGAGCTGGAGGTGGGAACAATGTCCCAAGATCAGGAGGCCACAGAGACATTGCCCACAAAGAAGAGTCCTGAAGAAAATCCAGCTTCTTTGCTTCGAACAGCAACTTGGGGATGGAGCCACATCCATATTAGATCATCTCCATGCCAGGGGGTAATTTGGGTGCATATGGAACACCTCTTGGCTCCTTCTTAAAGCAGATGTGTTTCCCCCTGAGACTGTGTAAGTAAGCCCAGGAAAAGATGCAGCTTCTTTAAAGAACTTCCGACAGGTGTCATGGGAAGCCTACCCATGTGCTACAAATGTAATAGTATATGGGAATGACCTTGGGAGACAGGAGGAATAGCTGCAGGCTAGGCAGTGGTCAGATAAGAGGCAGTTGAACCTGTAGAAGGAATGGGAGTGTGGCAAACACCTCAGAAGGGACCTTCCCTACTTTTCAGCAGAGTAAAAGTGAGGGACAGGAGGGGTACTTTCAGACTTGTAGGATTCTGTTAATGTAACCTTACAATAAAAATAGAGCTAGTACTCCTGGATGTGCTTCTTTTCTGGACTACCCCACAAGCTGACATCAATCTCGCACCCCTCCTCCTTCACTCAGATTTCTCTTATCAGTCCATTGTTAGGCTGCAGCTCTTCCTCCTGTCTCCCAAGGTCATTCCCACATATGATTACAACAAATCACCTCTTCTCCTTTGAATCCAGATTCCTACATAGTCATTGTAAGGATGGGCTAACTGGGTCTTGAAAATACTCAGCCAAGGAAGCTTATTGGGGTGAGTTTGGGCCAGTCTTGACCTCCCAGCCTAACCAACACCATAGAGGGGAGATTGGAGGAGTGATCTCTGATCGTTGCCTTGAGCTCCTGGAGTGATGGTGAGTTAGAAATAATAATAATACAGTAAACATTTTAAAAAGGAGTACCACATTTTTCTGAAAGTACTTGCTATAGTCTAGCAACAGAGTTCTAATTTCAAGTCCTTTTTTTTCCCCTGCAAAAATATCTCAAAGAGGATGAGGAGTGCATTCTTCTGAAAAGAATTCACGGAGAAGAGACAAGAAGTATGATAGCAAGAGAGGAAGGGAGAAGAAGCTTTTGAAAGACTGTCTGCTTCAGGTGAAGCTCCCACTTTTCTGCTTCAGATGAAGTGCAGTATTGTGCAGTTAGACACTGGAGTTTATCTTCTACTGCTCCAGCTTGGGGAACAAAGTGTCTTGGATGGGCCCTGAATATTCTGTGTTTGCAGTTTCCATCACCTGCCATCTGTTTGCTACAGAATGCAATCTCTTTTTGCCCAGAAAGCAAAATTTGCATCAGAATGAATAGGCTACTGATGCACAGAAGATGCAATATATGCTTGCTTGCTTGCTTGCTTGTTTGTTTGTTGGATTTCTCCCCTACCCATCTCCCCCACAATAGGGGACTCTGGGCAACAAGTCTTTCAGATCCAAACACACCTTGGATATGAATGGTTTTCCATTTTACAATTGCTGATTCTGAATCCTTCCAAGCATTAGGGTTACAGGTGATGTCCGACAGCCATGAAAGGATACAGATGATAAGGCCATGGATTTCACTCCCTGAGGGTCCAAGCACAGATCGATGGTTCCCAAAATCATAGATAGAGGCTAGTTTTTCAGACCTTGGTTGTGGGAAATAGAATTCATTTCTCTTTGCAATTCTTTCTCACTGCATCAATACTGACCCATAGAGAGCTCATAACTGTGTGTGTGATCAGTTCATGATTATTACTTATTTATTTATAAGCTGGGTTATTCCATAATGTACTTGACAATCCTTCTTGTTTGGTAGGATTATAGACACTCATGTCTATTGAAAACGACAATTACCGTATTTTTCCAACAATAAGATGCCCCCATGTACAAGACGACCCCCACTTTTCCAGCCCAAAATT